TATATATACATATATATATACACGCGTTTCTTAAGGCACCGTTATAGGTTGTAGGGCCCTATTAATTGCATTCGGTCGTGTGGCTTCTCTACTAGGCGAGAGGTAATAATAGCAATGACGATACGCAGGATTACTGTTATTATTCCTCCTTGTAACGATGCGGAAGGATTGTCTGACTCTTTTGCAACATCATTTTTTCATCGAATATATTTTGACGATATACGTTGCGTATGTGTGTCTTTTACCTATCATATATTTCCCCATCCTTCCATCTTAAGTGTTCTTGAAGAAACTGGACTTTAATCGATCTCTTGAAACTTTCGACATATAGACTTAAATTGAGAAATATAATTACTAACCGATATGATTGAGTTTTCGCAAAACTCAAAGTAAATATATGTTGACGACGTTAATTGAAAAAATTGCTATTATTTCGTGTTAATATTTGTTGTTTTTTTTTGTGCAAAATAAGTTATACTTAGCGATATAAACTGGATCAGGAATTGTATATTACATCCATTTAGTTCGTAGAATTAGCTTTCGACAACAGAATCCAAGAGACTTTCCACGAAGGAGACGCAATGGAAAGTCGCATGATGGCGTGCGAGCCACCGATGGTGAACTAGAATTTCACTTGACAAAAACGGGCGTAACAATGTCCGTCCTGTCTTACCAGTTGGTTAACTGGATTCACTGACCACCGATAATGGCCAAGTATTCCGTGCTCCATTTATACGCGCGTGCAAGAAGTTACGTGGAAATTTGATTCGTTCTAAAGTAATATTGTATCTCTTTAAACCAGTCTAATAAAAAGACTTGCGTTGTAAACTTTCGTAGCATTCTATTGGATTTTTCAAGCAAGTTTTAAATATTAAACAGAAAGAGAGAGAGAGAGAGAAAGAGAGAGGAAAAAATAGAAGATCTCTTTTAAAAAGGAAGCCAAAGTATAAACTCAAACACATTATTGATATATAAAATAAAATTTCAAGTCTCCGCGTTTTCCGAATGCGGACATAAGAGCTCTCGCTCGTTATTCATCTTATTTACGGGCTTTGTCCGCCCAAATTGGCCGCATTCATAGATTTTTTTCGGACGCCGCAGCGTCGACTATTTAACGGCTCGATTATGCGAAGCCATGAAAATGTGATGCGTCTGGCGGCTATTAAAATTGAAATTATATCCAGCACGTCAGACCGAATTACGCAAGATGGTTACCAGCTTCGCGTAAATTACACATGCTGAATACAGAAAAGGGAATTCTATGGCCGTTTTAACATGTTTTTTTTCCTCCCGACGTAGACTCGCGCGAAAAAAAAAACACCCGTTATGAAACATCATATAAATATCCTATTTGCCGGTCTATTATGCTGTCAACGCGATATATACCTTTCTTTTCTTATAAAAAAAATTGTGACGCAAGAAAAGATTTGTGTGACAGTTTCGATTAAAGAAGATCGGCGTGTAAATTCGTGGCTCATCTTTTTCGACCAATCTAATATTAATCACAGTAAATAATTATTGCGCATAATATTAATTACGATATAATGAGTAATTAATTATTGATATTAAGCAGGAATTTAATAAAACTGTTAACTTTTATAAATAAAAATTATTTGTGATCTTTTAACTTTTAAATAATTTTTTTTCTGTTTTGAGTTTTAATTTTTAAATTGATATTTAAATATTGTTAAAAGTTTATTTTTAACAGTTATTTTATATCCATTTTAAGAAAGTTCTGAAGAAACATATATTTTTTTAAATTTATTTTAAGATAAAATATAAAAGTTAAAATTCTTGTTTTAATTAATATTATTTAAAGAATTAAAAACAAGATAGACATAGAAGAAAAAGCAGATTATATTTTTCTATATCTGTTTTATTTTACAAATAATACATATAAGAAGAAATTTGAAATAAAACATAAACAAACAATAATTACATGTATTATTCAGTATTTAACTTTAAAAGTAAGTTTCCATATTATTTTCATTAATATTCGTTTTCATGTCATTGCTTGATCATTTAGAATCTAGAGGAACTTTTACTTTTTCAAAGCAGAATAAAAGTTTCTGTTTATCTGTAACTTTTTTCTACTTCCGAAAAAATAAAAGTTTCTAAAGTAAATAGATTTTATTTTATAACTGTTTTTTTGGAAAAAAAGATATAAGTACAAAAGTTATTATTATTTGATAACTAATTGTAAATTTTTACAGTTTTGTTCAATCTCTCAATTAAATAATCGAATTAAGAAAACGAAGAGATTGTCGCGGTGTAATTTATTTACTTACGTCGATGTTTTGTTCCGCCGCTATTTTCTGTCCTTATTCGTCCATCCATTCGTTCTGCAAGAAGTCTATTTCACGAACGTCGGCCCGTTTCGATTTCTAAGTGAACTCTGCGTTCGCACAGGTTTGCGACGCGAGTGGCAAACGGCTTTCCTCCGTTGCCATGCAATATGCATCGTGCTGCATTCAGGACGCATAGCGGGCGCGCCGATGCAATTTCAGTTCACGATTATTCGTTGAATTTCTAAGCCAAAAAAGGACGACGAGAGATAAAGGGAACGGCGGCATGGCGTCATCCATCGACGGGGAAAGACAGACGCCCTCTTTTCGACGAGAATTTACAAACTTTCATTACTTAAAACTTACGCGCTCATTTCTTTAGAGACGCCGCCTCTTGTTCGCGTGCACTCTTGATTATTTTGAAATTTATAAAGTATATCGTATATTCTTCAGTGAATCACCAACTTTATTTCATCCAATTAACTTTTGTCTTCATTAAAATTAATCGTAAAGTAATATATCTGCAATTCTATCTATGAGAAAAGTTTATCTTTTTTTAAATTAATACTTTTTCACGAAACTTTTCGAAGCTTTTGAAGACATTTTCCACGACGTCTTTGCCGCGATCGAATTCGTGTCCTGCGAAGAATCCACGAGGAGGGGACACGAGGACGTGGCATTCGACCAAGTAAATGAGACGTCGTCGATGTTCGACACCGTCGCACTGTCATCGACGATTTTCTGTCCGCCTAGTCCGGCATCGATCATCCGCGTTATCGGTATCTCAATCCTGGAACCGGTCGGAGAGGACAGTGGGGTAAACGAGAGCCTCCTCGGCATCGGCCATGGGGATCTAGGAATCCTTTGGTCGCCTCCATCACGCCTCATCGGCTTTTAAAATGAACGATCTTCGAATGTGACTGGAACACGCGCGAGTTTGTCCCTTACATTCGATATAAGCGATCAAGAGGAGTTCTCGATTTCGGTGCCCTTCTCGGACTCGTGAAATTGATATATGGATAAATATCGTAGGTAGTTGTGGACGGCACTTCAAAATAGATATACGCATCGATACGATTCCCCGACTATTTTTAAAGTAAAATTACGGGAAAGCTATAAAGAAAAAATCGGAAGAATTTTTAAAGAAGAATATTTCCGTGTACTAGGGAAGATATATATCGATAGTTTTATAAATATCGAAAATTTCTTTCTATTCTCGTATAAAAACATTGAGATTTAAGAAGAATCTCATCGGATGCGAATGAAACTCGGCGAACGGTGCATTTATTGCTACTATAAACGTCTAAACCATCGATGGAATTCTCAGTCAGATTTATGATTATCTCGTAGAATTTTTTGATAGCCGTTGCTTACATCATCGATGATTTTACTATAGTTTTCTGCCAATAAAAACAATTGCACATCCGTCTTGTAGAATGTTCAATAAAATCACAATCGATTTCGGTATTTTCAAATTTAAAAGCCGTAAATTGCAATAGTTTATACTTTAGATTTACAAAAGAGAAGCAAGAAGTATTGCGAGCGGATGATCTCGCGGCACATCAAAGAATCCGTCCAGACAATGATTAAAAATGCAGAAACAATCGTGAATTAATTAAGATTCTATTTCGAACGAGCAATTCGATTGCCGATGCCGTCGGCATAAAACGCATAATTTAACTAATTAATGACCGTGAACGCGGCAAGAATTATGCAAGTTGTGAAGATAACACGCCATCGGAATTAGATTCGTAGAATTCGACGGCAGTTTCGAAACTTTCTAGATTTTTTTGTTTTTTATACTTTAAACTCATCATCTCCAATGCATGTATATTTATATATTTTATATATAAATATTTTATTTTAATATACAAGTATTTTATATATTTTACATCAAAATATATTCTTACTTATTTACGAAATATACTTTTGAGTACATTCTCTCTGTAATTTGTATGTATAACTGCTGAATTACATTTGTATGTAAATTTCAGATAAAGTATTTGCAGTTTTTTTGCAGATTCACTGTCTGAATTTTTGGACATACTTCTAGTTTCAAAAAAATCAGAGGGTTCACCTATTCGGAACTTTATCCCTTCAATTTTCAGACACACTTTTCTGAACTTTCAGAAAAACGATTCTGATGATTAACAATAAGACAGATTGTCTGATATTTCTTTCAGACACAAATAAAAGAGAAATTCACAAAATTTAGGCAAAAATGTGTCCGAATTATTAGAAAAATTTTTTGCAGTGCACATATATGTTGTGCTTTCGGGATGCATTTCTTTGGTAGCCCCCTTTATCATTTCATCTTCATTCGTGCTTTCTGCAACCGAGAAAGTGTAAC